TATATATATATATATATAGAGCTACGAATTTAAACATAGGAAACAAATATGTTATTTTGTGTGTGTAGATTTTTAAAATATATCTTTTTACCATTAAAAAAAATATATTTAAAACATTAAATTCTGTTCATATACGATAAATGTATTTATTCTTTTTTAGATATACTAGCTAATTTCTTATAAAATCTGAGACGTAAACAATTATCTATATCCTGTAAAATATTAACATAATCTTTACCATTTCATTGGCAGCATAGCCAGGTCGAGAACGGACTTCTCTGGCTTCGGAATTGAGTTCTATACCACAAGTTGTGCAATTAAAATGATAAGGATGATAAAGTTCACCACGGAACCGTAAAGGCTTGTCATCGATTACTCCGCTAGAAATTACAAAAGAAAATCATAACGACTACAATTTTCAAACAAGTATTCCATTGCGTGAATTATAGGTTTTTCTATAGATTGCTGACTTTGCCTCCATGTTCGAAGACACCGCTGGGCAGTGCCATATTTGTGTTCACTCATTCTCATATGTATATGTATAAATCACACTCAATATATATAATCACTGCTCAAGTAAATATTGAGAAGTATATATCTATTATCTTTATAATAAATAACGTAATACTTATGAAAAAAAATGAACATTACTTCCTACTTTATATCGACTTTTGCAATTTATTGTAAACTACCGTTTTTTATATTATTTTTCAGAATACAATAAAATTTACGATTACAAAGTTACCATGAAATGACATTTGACATTTATGATAATTTCTGTTATGACTGAACGCAGTGTTTTCACATAAATTTATACAAGGACACCTCGAAATCAGGGTAATCTCTTTCTATCACATTGAGTCAGTAGTCTAGATTTATAAAAGTCTGGTTTTTCCATTCTCTAGACTAGATATTTTAGACTTTTAAAATTGTTCAAAAATCTATCTCAAGAAGCTATAAGTGAAAATTAAAAAAAGATCGCTTGAGCATCATTTTAAGCATTTTGATAACTAAATTTGATAACTATATTTGGATTGCAAAAACTGCCTATCATTTATGATATGAAAGCTACATCTTTTATACAATAATGAGAACATACTGGCATTGATGACATATATGTTTTCCAAGTACCCCAGCTTTCACATTAGCGTTGCACGTATGGCATAAGGCTCTGCCTTGACACTTGATGAAGCCCGCATCCGCCAGTTCACCATTACATTCTTCGCAGCGGAAACATTGTGGATGCCAATTTGAATTCATCGCTTTAATCACGCGGCCAATAACAAACTCACCTATCGTAAATATGAGAAAACTTGATTAAATACATTTTAAAATGTTATCTTATATTTAACTATACTCTCAGAATTAATAATAATATCGAAGCAATTAACAAAATTTAAATCTAACTTACCACACTTGCCACAACATGGTGCAAACAGAACATGAAAGTCATGCTCGCAATATTTGTATCCTTCAAATTCATAGAAGATTCCATCTGGAAATGGCCGGAAACATTGCGCGCACCTATCAAAATAATATTAACTCATAAAAATAATATTAACTAATAAAAATCCATAAGATAGTACATTTTTATAGCTATTTTTATTTTACAAAAAGTAGCGAAGAAATTAATGCACATTGGAGCATGCAAAAATTATTTGTAAAAATTGTGGCTTCTCCACAAATGTTACATATTTTTATAATTTATGAAAATTGAATCGAATAGAAAGTATAGTAGATATGTACAAAATGAAATAAATTATAATAAATGCTATTCCGTAAAAGAAATGTCATTTATATATATTAACACAGACTATAGGGACAATAATAGAAATTTAATTTATAGAAAAAGTCGAATATTAGAAAAAGTAAAAAATGTGGCACGATTAATTGCATTCATTGATTGCATTTTCAAATCTCATTACAGGCAGTTATTTCCATTAAAAAAATCATTTTAAATTCTTTGAAAATAAAGTTATAGTTATTAGAGAGAGAGAGTGTTAAAAATTGTATTTAATACTTTCTAAAAATATCTCGATTGTGTAAATTGAAATAATCATTATTCCGAAAACATATATATGAAATTAAACAAATTGTTGATTTTTCTGCCATATATCTGTACAAGTTTATGTATATTCTTTTCATACTACGTACTAAGAAAAATAATGAATTTTTTTCTGCAGTATAGTATTTAATTCGTTTTCGCCTATTTATTCATAGATACAAAATACACGTAATAGCTATTTATTTTCAGTTTCTTTCTGCCTGTAAGCAAACTGCCCAACAGTATGATAATAAATTTACAGCAGATTTGCTTAGAGCTAGTATCTAGTTATTGCAAAGATCCAGTACCATCTATACGTATATACAGTACAGTATATTTTTTGCTAGCTGCTTTCCTTTTAGAAAATACAATTGACACAGACATCGTATCATCTTTCTTGACATTCAACAAAAAGCAAAAAAAAAAACGTTTGTATCGACTATGACATCTCTTAAAAAGAAAGCAGCCAAAGTAAAGTATAAGTAGGAATTAAATAGAATCTGTCGTTCATAAACATTTAAATGGAATACAAATACATCATTTAAAATGATTATGAAACAGCAGATTCTGCTCAGCTTTCTGTAATCAATCTGCCATTACATTCTTTTACCAGATTCTATTAGATTTTTGTTGACATTCTATTAACGTTTCTAGTAGACACTTTCAAAATCTATATTTGACAGATTTGGTTATCCAAGCCAATTGTTATCCCATATATACTTACACAAAACACTGCGGATGCCACAATTCACCATTTGAATTAACAATTTTCTCATGCGCAACAAAACCTTCTCTACACCGGGAACAAAACATATGATCCAACGACATCTCTGTAACCCTGTAACACATAAATATTTTAATAGATATTTTAACATAACGGTTTAATAAATGTTTTAATTTTAAATTTATAGTTAATTAATCATAATATAATGAAAGCATGGGTAAGAATTCTGTATACTACCCAAGTCTGATTTCCATGAAATTTTATAGATGTAGTACTAACTAAATGTTTTTCCAACTTCTAAATATTACTATATTGGAAGATCAATTACGCAAAACTTGAATTTAATCGACAACACGTTTAAATTGTTCGCATTCCTGCAATAATGACTCTATGTACTAAAAATGAACTCGTAAAGCAAAAACCTTAAGATGACAATTTTATGAAATTAAAAAGTAATTTTTCGACATATGTATTAACCAATACAAATATTAAAAAATTGATAATATAAAATTTAAATATTAATAATATAAAATATTTAAAAAATTAAATATTGCATTTTTTTTTTATAATGATGTTATGTCAACATTGTACGTACAATTTCACATAAAATGTAGTCAACAGAATAGTATTTAATTATAATTAATTTTTCATGTAAAATCTTAGAAAATGTTAATTATGTCGATTAAATAAAAGGAAGGTAGAAATGTTCGAATGTTTCGCTATCGCTCGAATATCGTTTTATATCTATGTTTTCTTATGTAATTATATTTTTCATTATAACATTTGTCACACATCTCAAACATTATTCACATTTGATTTAATATGGAATTAATTTCATAAATGAATTATTAAAGCATAACTGAGAGTGATTTTATAATGATATGCGAATAAGGATTTTATTCACTTAATTTCAATGAACGATATTTTTCCTTAAATCTAACATTGTTATAATGACTATTTTCAATCTTTACGAAGAAAAATATATAAGGAAATATAGAAATAACAATCCTCGAACGGTAACAAAACCCTTGAAAATTTCAACCGTTTGAATATTTTGAAAACTAAGCATTTCCACAATTCTGCATTTATGAATTTGATGACATTTTAGTTAGTCTTGTTCTTTTTCGAAGAATTCTGAACTAGTTCTGAACTAGTGCAATATGTTAGAGAGAGAGAGAGAGAGAGAGAGAGAAACTATACCTATCCCACTCTAACTTACTGCATCAGTGTACACCAGTTCAGAACTTGGTATGGAAAAAGAACAGGCCTAGTATTACATATCTGTAAAACTTGATTAAAATTGAGCTTGGGTAGTCTACCGAAGCGTGTTGTGAATATGTTAATTTTATAAATTTATTTGGATAGCATAGACAATTATCCAGGTAGCAACGTGTCTTGTTGCTGGCATGTTGCTTGCTAAGTACGCATTGCTACCGAAATTGCAGTAACTGATGTAAGCCCTTATTTGTAACTTAATGCCTTGCCAATGTAACAACTTTGAATAGCAACTTGTCAGCAATTTGTTAAAAACTTAAAAATCGTCATCATTAAAATGTGTACTATTATATTGCACCGTCATATTGTATCGTTATATTGTACCGTCATATTGCCATAATAATATACAGCACCACACAATACTGTTATATTGCCGACATTAATTGAACATTGATGCAATTATCTTGGACTATTAAACTGGCAATACATATACACATTGTTGCCTACAATATCTGTATATTCGAAATATATAGATCGTTGAAGACAATTAATATTATCTATACCTATTATGTAAGTTGCTAGCATCATAAGCAATCACAGATTTATGCAATGTTGTCGAGACACGATTTGCTATCTGGGTATTTACACACATTTCGTTTGTTATCAAGAAAATAGGAGATAGTTTTTGTTACATACAGTTGCGTCCTATATACTTATGCAAAAAATTAACATTTTTCAAAGAGAAGATGCTTACCCTGGCATATTTTAATGGAAGAAGGCGATTACGTTTTAACGTTGATAAACACTTCTAGCTATCTTGTTTTTCTACTCGCCTACAATCAATTTGCTTTACACAATAATCTCTATTATTGGAATACTATTAAAAACGCGTTAAAACAAATAATATATGTAGATTCATGGAAATACTGCAAATTTAATATATACTGATTCAATAATGGGTTTGTTTTTTTTTATTGGTGCATAAAACTGCAGTATACAATTTTATTTTTCACGTTAAATTATTTAGTATTTTTTACGTTAAATTTCAAACATGTACTTATTTTACATGTAATTATGAAGAAGAGAGGTTTATTCACCGACTTTGATGAAATTAGGCTCGTTCGACGCGTTTTCGCACAAACTGAATGAATTTGGTAGAAAAAAGTGTCGCTTTGCCCCGTAAACCGAGATATTACGCAAAGTTCAGATTCAGGTTACGTTAGGAAAACTGTCATATCGACGATATAAAGGATTACACAAATTCTTTGTTTTAAAAACACAAATTCTCTATTTTAAAAATACAAATCTGCTTTAAAAACACAAATTATTTTCTATATAATTTTTATTTTTACAATTGATGAGAACTTGTTTTGACGCAGAAAATATTTAATTTAGCTTTACTTACATATTCTCATGTCCTTCTATGGTATCGATGTGACATATTTTCCAAACTTAATGGTCGTCAACTTTAATGATTAATACCTTGGTCCATGGGGCAGAGAGCAGCACTTCTTTTTGTTAGATTCGTACAAAAATTTGATACAAAAAATGCGTCGATGAGCCTAATTTCATCGAAATCGATGAGGATGAGAGTAAGCCCGTCTCCTTCATTCATAATTACCTTTACATGACCATCAGATTAAATTTATTTGGTTAACATACAAGTTAACCAAAGACTGAAAAACTGGGCCTTAACCATTCTCTCACTCTGCTATTTATCAATTTCTAATGTACATTGTTGTTTAATGTACATTGTAAATAATATTATTATTTGACTACTCGGCTATAATTTTTGTCAACTATTATATATATACAATCAACCAACTATTAATCAACCACGAAATATTACCTGATAACGCAAATATTTAATTAATTACGAATATAAGTACAATGAGGCTAAAACACTACCTATCACATAGATATATCCTGTCAATTACCTATATTCCGTATTAGTCTTATCAGATTTTTTAAGTAAACAGCCAATCCGATCTCAGCAAACGTGATATGACCTTTTATGAAAACGAATATGGGTTAAAAGTTGTCTAACCTAACCTAACCTAACCTACAGTAATTAGTCATCACCACTCCCTTTAGGCCCTATGCACAATGGAGGAAATATTAGCCTGGATCTTCATCATACGGGCAACATCCGAGCTTAGATAATTATAAGAATCGCGCAAACCATGCCGCTTGCTTCTTTTCTCCTCTATTAAGCCAGTTCTACATTAGTTGCAAGCTGATCGCAAGTTTGTTGCGACAGCCAATATAAAGCGTTGATTTCAAAATGCAAGCTTCAGATTGACTGTTTTATAGTGCCTCACTAAAATCTGTAATCGCAAAATGTTGCCGCGCACTACCGTCCTCTGGAGAAGTGGATGTTAACTATATACAATATATCCACCTTTTTGCAGTGCTAATGGAAATAGATAGTTGAAATCGCTAAAATAATTAAAATCTATTAAATTAATAAAGATTTCAACGATTTCAGCGATTTATTTCCATGAGAAGCACTGCAAAAAGGTGGATATTGTTGTGTAGTTAACATCCACTTGTTTAGAGGGCGGTAGCATTTTGGATTATAGGTTTTGAGTTTTGGACCATCTCATGTCCTCTCTGTTCAGTTCGCACTGTTCATTGTTCACAGTTAGTTGTGTCGGAAAATCAAATAGGGGGTTAAGAAAAAGATTTTATTCGTTACACATATAAAAGATTAGCCGTGTTACATACATTAGGAAACTCGATGTTAAAAAATAATAAAAATTGCAAAATTGCTGTTATATTTTTTTAGTGACGATAAGGTGAGGTTAGATTAGTAGTAAAATATTTCCTCATTCACATGGTATTGCAAAAAGTTTTGATAATTGTTTAGATAAACTTCCTCATCTCCGATCTTTATGAAATTAAGCTTATTCGACGCGTTTTTGCACAAAATGAAAGAATCTAGCAAAGAAAAAAGTGCGAGACTGCTCTGCGAGGCGAGATATTTAATTAGACTTGAGTTAAAGTTGACGATTATTCAGGTTAGAAAGTCTGCTCGCGTTGCTTGCACTTTTAGTACTCGACATCTTCGCTTTCTCTTTTTTTAAGACAAAATATGTATGTACCTCATTTTAAGTGCAAAAATATTTGGGGATTTCATGCAACAGTGCAATGTGAGCATCAAAAATTGATAAAAAGTGTGTATATATGGCTCACGTTACACTGTTGCATCGTTGCACGATTGTAAAAGATTTCCTAATCTGAATAGTCAACTTTAATAACAATTAATATCTCGGTTTGCAGGGCAGAACGAGACTCTTTTCGCCAGATTTATTCATTTGTGCAAAAACGAATGAGCCTAATTTTATCAACATTGAAGTTGAGGAGGCTAAACTCAACAATTATTCTCTGCTTTAAAAACAAATTTTTTGTATAATTTTTACTTTTACAGTGGAAAATTTGTTTTTAAAGCAAAGAATTGATGTTTTAAAACAGAGAATACATATATAAGATGTTCAGTAAAATTTAAGGGGAGAAATATATGTAAATGCTCGAAAATCAGTCATTTTTCGTGAATTATTTTGAGGGTGACAAAATAATTAAATCATTTTGCACTTTGGGCATAATTTAATGACATGTCAGGTAATTAAAAAAATTTTTTTTTTATACAAAATGGCGGCGGTACAGTCCCTCCACGAAGGCCGTTTTTGTGAAAGATGTAAAACGGCTGCCATCGCCCAGCTTTTTCTATTCGTCTGAAATAAAAAAACAAAACATATTTCGATTACTGATGAGTTTAAGCATAGAGTAAACCTATAAAATTGAGAAAAAATACGAAATCAAAAATTTGGTACGCTTGAAGAACTAAAGAAATCAAAAATATTAATATTGTACATGTGTTTTAACTCTAGGCATTATATATTAAAATTAAAAATTGACAAAATTAGAATTTAACATTAGAATGTTATATATTTGCATATTTTTTATATTATAAATATATAAAATTTATTTTCAGGGAGGTGCTCGATATGAAAACTAAAAAGCGTAAAGCTTCTAAGAAGACAAAAAGATCATGGAGGAAATATATTGATATCAAAGATGTAGATACATTTCTTGATAACAATAGATTAGAGGAACGATTGGGTACTCCTTTTTCTGAGCGTATAGATACTCAATTATTTACCATTGACAAAACTGCTGATGTGACTGAAAATGTAATTTCCAAACGTGCTGCCAGATTAGCATTGAAAAATAAAGAACCAAAATGTTTTGCTTCTTTGAAGTCGCATACATGTGTCCCCGATCCAATTTCTAAAAGAAACCAAATAAGAACTAAAGAAGAACGTATGAATTCTACATTACGTCAACACGAAGTAGAAAGGAAAATAAAGGATATTCTTAAATTAAAAGAGAAGGAAGCACTGAAGAATAGAATACTGGCAAAGGTTGCTTCAACAAATCCTGACAGCAAAGAGATTGAAGGAGATGTATGGAATAGCACAAATGTCTTAATTCCAGAAACAATCACTGAATGGATGTCTCCAAACAGCATTAGGCATACGCTGAAGCATTTAGGAATTAAAAAAAGAAAATTACCCTTATTGTGTAAAAAGTCATCTGTTTTACCTGCAGTAGAGATTCCACATCCAGGTACATCTTATAATCCGTCATATAATGATCACCAGAAATTATTGCACAATATTGGGCAGAAAGAATTGGAGCTTATGAAGCAAGATGAACATTTGAACAGGGTCACAACGCAAATGTTTGACAAAGTAAATTATATTATCATATTATCATTATTTTTTATATAAATCTTTATTTGTATTTTTATTATAATATAAAATTTATTTCTTTTTTTATTTACATTCAATATTGATATAATTTCATGTTTAACTTTATTTTCAATAAATAATATTTTTACATTATTAATATAAAATATTACCCTTGCTAATATTTTTAATTTAGATATTCCTTCAATTCATATTTTATATTTTTTGAATGTGATTTGTAATGTCAAATTATTTGCTTGTTCAGATTTCATTGCAGAAAAGAGATGAAAATATAATGAAAGAAATGTTAGAAGGTTTGCCAGAGAATCAAACCGCATTAAGTTTTAAGTCCGTTGAGGAGGATCATGAAGAAGAAAATTCATCTACCATAATAGCAAATGATAAGTCTAAAAAAAATATTAAAAAGACACGTGTTCAAAAAAGAAAACAACGAGAACAAAAACAAGCAATTAATAAACGTGCATTGATGAAAATCGAGAAAAAAAAAATTTCTGATATCTATAAATTAAAGACTCTGCAAAAACAGATAGAAGCCAAGGAGAGAAAGCAAGAAATCTTGCGACAAAAGCGAATGAAGAAACACGAGAGGGAATCTCTTATGCCAAAAACTCTGAGTAAGACAAAGTTTGAACCCATTGATCCTGATTTCCAGCTTGCAGAAGAATTGACTGGCAATTTGAGAAATTTAAAACCTTCTAACAATTTATTAAAAGAACGGTACAAATCACTTCAACAGAGAAACATTATTGCACCAGCCGTTATAAAATTGTAAGTATTAGGTTAAGTAAAAAGTCATCGCGTTTTTTTAAAAGACATCTATCAGTAAAAACCGCAATTACTTTCTTACCAACAATATAAATATATCTTAATAGAGTAAAGTTTCAGCTTTAAAAATCTCTTTTTTAAATTATACGATACGACAATTTTTAATGGAGTTATGAGCAATTAAAGTCAAAATAATTATTTTATTTAATCCGCGATAACTCAGTAATCAAAAGTCGTAGGAATATTAAAAAAAAACGATTTTGTAGGGCAAGTATCAAGCTTTCACGATAGGTAATCGAAAATTTTCTCAAATTCGTTTTTGATACGTTACAAATCCACAAAGTGAGAAGAAAATTTTTCGTCTTTTTCAGCTCATAGTTTTTGGTATGTAAAAATTATCAAACTCATATAAACTTAAAAAATGTGATAAGCTTTTAAAAGTAGAGATTTCAAGCTTTAAAACCCTTTTTTTTTTAATTTGAATTTCATTCATTATTGACGAAGATATTGTATATACAACTTTGAGCTAAAAAATACGCGATGACTTTTTTTACTCAATCTAATATAAATTGACGATTTACTAAAAAATTAGCCTAGTTTTTATTGTGCACTTGATACAGGTACCAATTAGTAATTTTCTATTAAATTATCTTAATTTTGGCGATACGTGTAAACATATACATGATATGTATATTTAAATTAATCATTTTGATTAATAGAAAGTAACTATATAGTTAATATACGAATCAAATGCTTGATGTAAATATTAACAAATTTAAAATAGTGAATGGCCGATGATCAAGGTTTGAAGAATGTGAGATTATTACAAAAATGTCTTTTACGATTTTTAATTTATAAATTTTAATATTGCGCGCATGCGCGCGTAGATCAACTTGATTTACAATTTTTCTGCAAATGGACCCCATATTTAACTGAATGTCAATATGAACATTAACTATAATCGACATTAAAATATTCTTTTGAGGGCAGAAATCTTAATAATAGTCAATTTCGATAAAATAAAATTAAATAAAATTCTCCAATATGTTATACATTGTCGTTATAATACGACAAAATACATAAAAATAGCCCTTTTTGCAAATTGAATTGCAATTTTCTTAAAATTATGACGTGGTGCAATTTGGAAAAACGTATTTCGTATTTGTATTCCGCTAAAAAAATATTTAAAAAATTATTAGTTTTGTTTCAGTATTAGAAAAAAAAGTAATTTATACAGCGTTATACAGCTAAATGCTCCTAAACGCAACCATTTATTGATTCTTTGTAAGAACTACAATATTTCAGAACAATTTGATTCACTTAGGGATCACTTAAGAAATATTGTGGTTTTATATATATATATATATATATATATGTATGTGTATAT